AAGCCCCTTTCAACATTTTTCCTCTTTTTGAAACCCTGTCCTACCCCTAGACTCCCTTTACCTGGATGACACCTATTCTTGCTTCACGTCTTAACTAGTTGGCTAGGTTAGGCCACTCTCTTAGTTCATTGACACACTAGTTTTTCTTGTTGTTGTTGTAAGTTGCCAACTCCATGCAACCCTACGCACAACATAACGAAACGTTGCCTGGTCCTGTGCCGTCTTCATGATCATTGGCATGTTTGAGTCTATTGTGGCTATTGTGTAGTGCCTTTCAACCTAGGGGCTCATCTTCTAGTACTATATTAGATAATAGTCTTTTGTAGTTCATAGGGCTTTCATTTACTAATTTTCAGAAACAGATTGCCAGACCTTTTTTCCTAGACTGTCTTAACATAGACGCTCCGCTGAAACCAGTCCACCATGGGTAACCCTGTTGGTATTTGAATACCAGTGGCATAGCTTCCAGCATCCTAGCAACACACAAGCCACCACAGTAGGACCCACTGACAGATAGATGGTGGCTAGTTCTTATTAGAAGTACAAAAATAATCATTTGTGAAATTGGGGTGGGATGCAGTTAATGTCTGTTTCTTTGATTAAACCGCAAAAGCAACCAAGAGAGTGAGGACAATGTCTGTCTGATTTTTTGTAGTACTCATAGCACTTAGAACAATGCTTAACACATAGAAACAGTAAATGAAAGTTGATACAGTGAATGTAAAGCCATTTGGAAGGGCTTCCTTGGGATAGCGGGTTGTTGCTTCTTTCCGCAAGTTGTGACTGAAATAATGCGTGCTCTGGTGGTCCTGAGACGGCCACTGGAGACCACAGACGAGACCACTGGGACAGGGATGGTGGACCGTGTTACAGTCACTCCTCTGGTAGGAGGGGAAAGTGGAAAGGAGCAGTAGGGGGAGCCCTGGAGCCTGAGAGTCCAGTGGGGATGACCAAGTCCACGGCGCTGGGAGAGGGGGCCACCAGTCATAAACGCACCAGGACAGCTGGGCCACAGCGTGTCTGAAAGGTCTGTATTTTCATACGTCACAAGACAGAGTCTGAAGAAGACTGACTGACTGCTTAGGGGACTCTCAACATTTTTTTAATATCTCTACATTCCCCACATGTATTGCCCTCAAGCAGTTCATAATCTAGCCATAGAGACTCTCTTTGTATTTCCCACTCCAACACAGACACACAAAAAACCCAGTCTAGGGCCTGGTTAAAAAAAAAAAACTATCCCCATCAAGTCAATTTGACTCATGGTGACCCCATGTGTCTCAGAGTAGAACAGAGCTCCATAGGGTTTTCAAGGCTGTGACCTTTCAGAAGCAGATTGCCAGGCCTTTCTTCTGAGGCACCTCTGGTTGGGTTTGAACCACCAACCTTTCAGTTAGTAGTCAAGCACATAACCCTTTGTGCCACCCAGGAACTCTTCAGGTCTCCACAGGATTGAAGTTTGCTCAGAGTGGCCACGACAAAGAACAAGGACTTAGCTAATAAACAAAATCAACCAAAACACAGGGGTCAATGGAGAGTCACTGTAGTACAATTTAGGGAAAAAAATACTACAGCCACAAAACTGGCTACACAGACACACTAAAAAGTCCTCACAAAGGTTAGCTTTCAGAAAATAGATCTGTTAAGCATAGGAATAACTTCCACCATCTTGAAACAACATAAGAAATCTCCAGGGAATGGCAAGAAATCCCTGAGCAGAGTTTTTATTGCCTTGGGTTGGGGGGCAGGGCAGTGGAAGAGATCCAAAGTTCAGGCAGCAACAACCTAAATGCCCATCAACAGAAGAATAAATAAACAAAATGTGGTACATACGTACAACGGAATACTACTCAGTCAGTAGGAGAAATGAAGTCTTGATACATGTTACAGTATGGATGGAGCTTGAAGACATTATGCTGAGTGAAATAAGACAATCACAAAGGACAAATATTGTATGACCTCACTTACATAAAAAGACAAGAACAGGAAAATGTACAGAGACCAAAGTTTATTAGTGATTACCAGGGGCATGAGGGTGGGGGAAAAGGGGGGTTAACGGTGATGGAAAACTTGCGTTGATTGAGGATACGGTTGCACAGCTGATTATTATAATTGCTGTCAATAAACTGTACACCTTTAAAAGTTGAATTGGCAATGCTCAGGCAGCATTGCTGCTGTTGTTGTTGGGCACCGTCAAGTTGATTCTGACTCGCAGCAACCCTAGGCACGAGAGAACGAAACACCGACTGCTCCTGCGCCATCTTCACAATCGTTTCTATGTTTGAGCCCATTGTTGCAGCCACTGTGTCAATCCACCTTGTTGGGAGTCTTCCTCTTTTTCGATGAGCCTCTACTTTACCAAGCACAATGTCCTTCTCCAGGGACTGGTCCATCTTGATAAACATGTCAAAGTACATGAGACAAACTCTCACCATCCTGCTTCTAAGGAGCATTCTTACTGTAATTCTTCCAAGACAGATTTGTTCATTCTTCTGGCAGTCCATAGGCTTAGCGGTCAAAAATTGAAGGTACTTCCATCTGACGGTTTCTGTTTTCACTGTAAAGTAGGAAGTAAAACCAACTGCAGCTATTGAAAGGGAAGTTGTAAAGTCACAGGTTTAAGAATTATGATAGTTTTGAAATAATACTGGAAAATAAAACAAAGAAGTGACGAGGGAAATAGAAGGATCTCTGGGCAGTACTAAGGGTTGTTGTAAAGATTAAATGAGACAATATATGTAAAGTACATAGCACTGTATGAATCATAACCAATTATGGCTAAGATTGGCAAGATTGGGAATTCCGGAACACTTAATTGTGCTCATGCAGAACCTGTACGTAGACCAAGAGGCAGTTGTTTGAACAGAACAAGGAGATGCTGCATGGTTTAAAACAGGAAAGGTGTGTGTCAGGGTTGTATCTTTTCACCATACTTATTCAATTTGTATGCTGAGCAAATAATCTCAGAAGCTGGACTATATGAAGAAGAATGCGGCATCAGCATTGGAGGAAGACTCATTAACAATCTGTATCATGCAGATGACACAACCTTGCTTGCTGAAAGTGAAGAGGACTTGCAGCACTTACTGATGAAGATCAAAGACTACAGACTTCAGTATGGATTATACCTCAACGTAAAGAAAACAAAAATCCTCACAACTGGACCAATAAGCAACATCATGATAGATGAAGAAAAGATTGAAGCTGTCAAGGATTTCATTTTACTTGGATCCACAATCAACACCCACGGAAGGAGCAGTCAAGAAATCATACTATGTATTGCATTGGGCAAATCTGCTGCAAAAGACCTCTTTAAAATGTTAAAAAGCAAAGATGTCACCTTGAGGACTAAGATGCGCCTGACCCAAGTCATGGCATTTTCAAAGACCTCATATGCATGCAAAACCTGGACAATGAATATCGAAGACTGAAGAAGAATTGATATATTTAAACTATGATATTGGCATAGAAAATTGAAAATACCATGAACTGCCAGAAAAATGAACAAATCTGCCTTGGAAAAGTACAGCCAAAATGCTCCTTATAAGCAAGGATGGCAAGACTTCCTCTCACATACTTTAGACATGTTCAACAGGAGGGATCAGTGCCTGGAGAAGGACATAATACTTGGTAAAGCAGAGAGTCAGCGAAAAAGAGGAAGATCCTCAGTGAGATGGATTGACACAGTGGCTGCAGTAATGGGCTCAAACATAGTAACAGTTGTGAGGATGACGAAGGACTGAACCGTGTTTTGTTCTCTTGTACATAGGGTCGCTATGAGTCAGAATCTACCTGATGGCACCTAACAACAATAATAACAACACATGGCACATAGTAGGCATGTAATGAATATTAATCTCCTCCCCTCCTTCCCCCACTTTTAATAGAAGAAACTGTCTGTTCATCATAGTGGATGTTCAATTTTTGTTGACTTGGTTCCAAGTCCTCACACATAATAGTTGAGATACGTTTTTGTACAATTGGACTGAATTCCTTCCTTTCTGCGGAATTTGCTGTTATTGTCAGAGAGGTAGCCTGGTGCAGAGAGAAAAGACTGTATCAAGAACACTGGACTAACTAAACTTCACGGTCTGGGAGAAAACTTTGTGGCCTTCACATGTCCCTCAATCTCTCTGCGAGTCTCAATTTCCCCATCTATTAAATGGGGATATGATATTCACCAAACCTACATAACTGTGTTATTGAGATAATCAACATGCGTGAAAGAGCTTTATAAATAGTGAAACACAATTTCGAAGACTGAAAAAAATAAGCACAATTCTTCTGGAAGGTAATTTTTGAATAGTACCAAGAGCCATAAAAATGTTCATACTCATTGATCCATCCCACTCCCAGAAATAAATCCTACTAGGGATTCCACTCTTTTTCTATCAGTCCACCCAGGATGTTGCCAGAAATATATCCTACAATAGGGGATTCCACTCTTTCTCTATCAGTCCACCCAGAATGTCCCCATGAATGGCACATTCCAAGATTATAGGCTGGAAGCCTATTTAAGCTAGGATGTGGATATGTTCGACTCCCGCTTCTTTGACACTCAAGAAATCACATTCCAGTGAAGCCAGTTATTACAGAAATCTTTTGAAGTAAATAGTTAATCAAAGGCAGTATATCACTTACTAATAGATTACTTGCGAGTTATGCAACTGATCAAGATGCAGCAGAGTTCAAGGCGCTCAAGTTGAGAATTGCTATCCTTAGGAAATAACTCAAAAGAATAAAAAGAATGGATATACATGTGGATGGGCTCTTTCATGCCCATTCTCTCATTGCCTCCTTATGAAAGTCCTGTGACATAGACAACAAGGATTTGTATCTCTGGTCTCCAGATGGAGCCGTGAGTTTACAGCCTGGGCCTGACATACAAAGTTGAGAGCCAGCAAGAAGTGGTGATAGGGCACTGTGTGGGGGTCACATGAACCTCTAACACTTCCTGGCTGTGATTACTTGGGCATTTCACTTAACTCGTTCGTTGGCTGCTCCCAGAGTTGCTGGGTGGTTCAAATGGGGTACTGGACCTGAATGCACTGTAGGAAGCTGACATGTATGACAGTATGCTGGCTGTATCCCTGAGCTGGGACCAAGAACAATGTTTCAAGTCTACAAAGTGGCCTTCCATTTATCCACTCCTGGTAAGCAACACTAGAATTTCTAGTCAGTCTTTCCATCTGCACACCTAACACAAGGATAAAACATGGCCATAACAAGGCAAAATAAATATTTATTAGAAATCAAAAAAAAAAAAAAAACACATTTCTTTAACAGCACTAAAATATTCTTACTCTTCTTATAATTTCTTTCTTGAACACAGAGCTTCACACACACGAAACACTAAGAACAAGTATGTAAATCAGAGTTTACAAGGATCAGGCACATTCAATGAGAATGAGGTGACAATTCTGAGTTTGGGACCAAGATCACCGTAAACACATGTAAATCAATGCAGAAATCAAGTATGTCTTATGGGCCTGGGTGATAGCCCATCTACCTGGGCCCTGCCCAGAGCAAAAGAACATCGTTCACTCAGGGCTTGAGGAGGGAGAGGAATGTCAATAATACTGCGTTTTTCTCTTCTTCTAAGAGCTTAATGACTTCACAGTACAGCCTCGCACACCTCCCACATCCCAGGGAGGAAAGTAAGCATCATTTTTATTCCAAACAGATACATTTCATAATATTGAGAATTATTCCTGAGGCAGAGTTTAGCTAAAAGAAATTTTCCAGCCAAAAACAGTATCTGAGCACTGGAGATCTTATTCCTGGAAAACACCTTCCCCTTAAATTATTGAAATGTAAATCATGAACTCTTAAGACATCCCAATATGCCCATGGATTTAGTGTGGTATGAGGTGTGTGTGTGGTTTTGTGCACACTTGAGTTTTAAACCAGTCACAGGGATTATAAGAACGCTTTGGATGGCCACCATGAGTCATCTAAGCAAAAAGCCCTAGACCCATTGGCTATGCCAACCATAAAGATTGACTCAAATTTATGAATAACAGTGCTTTAAAAAAAAAAAAAGAGAGAGAGAGACATGGTGTAGGGGGAAACCCATGGTCCAGGAATCAGGACGCTCCAGCTTCAGTAACCTCTGATATGATTTCCTACGTATCAGTGACTCTGAGCAAGTCTACTTTCCTTTCTGCGTTTTGTCTCTAGGTGTAAACTGAGGGCACTGGTCGTTTCTGGCTCTGAGGCTCTTTGACTCACTGCTTCACCTTGCCTTGGTAAACCTGCCTAGGCTCAGATCATGTAGACTGAAAACCCTTTGGGAATGCCACTGCTGGGAAGAATATCCAGTACAGAAATGGTCTTGCCAAAAAATTCCATCCAGATGCATGGAGAGTGGAGAGTTGACGCAATTGTGTGAGAAGATAAAGATCCAATTATTGATTTCTCGTTGCCAAACCTCCTGGCTTTTGTCCATGTATACAGTGGAGAGCTATATGGATTTATCCATTAACACCTGAGTCAAAGCAATTCTGGAACTCCCGGCTCCAAAGTGTGGAGTATGGTGCCATTGATCCAAACTCCTGCCCTTTAACCCAGGACATCTGTACAATATAAATTCAGATAGGTAACTCCAGACCCTGGACACTGACTCCTAGACTCTCCCGGTTAACAGGCACCATAAAATTCATCCAGTTATGATCTTCAACAATATCCTGAATAAGTACTCAATCGCTTCTGCTTAAACGCCTCCAAGATGTGGAGCAGCCGCTCAACTGAACTGAACCAAAATCTTGCTCCCTGAAATTTCTGGCCTTTGGCACTAGTTCTGCCTATCTGGATCACATCTGCACCCTTTGCCTCCATGACAGATCCCCCCAAATCTTCTCTCTCCAGATGGCACATCCCTAGCCCCTTCTACCCTGCTCACATCTAAGCTCGGTCTGCCCACTACAGCTTATAGCACTAGTTGGCTCCGTAGGTCAGCTGGGAGTATAGGAGGCTGCACCCTTTACCCATCCCAGCTCTCCCCAACCAAGCAGGGAAGTGGAACCTGTAACACATGGACCCATCAGGGGCATGAAGGCCAAGTTGTTACCCTTCCAGTTAAGCTGGCACCCAGAGTGAACTGCTTGGCCTGGCCCCCTCAGTTGGCCTCAAGTCACATGAAATAGCCAACTGCCAAGTATCTAAAGGCTAGATTTATTTTTGTGCCATTTAAAATTAAGATTAAGGTAAATATAACTCCACCTCAGTGATTCTCACATGAATGCTTTCACCAGGTAACTGAGGCAGAGTGGATTTTCTTGTTGTTTAGGCTCCAGTTACTTAGAAAATTGCGTCAACTCTCCACATCAGCTCTTCCCCCAACTGACTCTGTTTAACTTCTGGGAGGGAAGAAAACTGAGGATGAAGGTCTAAAAATAAGCCCCAAGTCTTGGCAAACACTCTTCTCTCACAAGCCTTCCCCTTTCAACTTCAAAATTCACAGTTAACCAAAAATATTGTACAGCAGAACATTTTAGGTATTTTGTTAACTTCCCCCAATGAGAAGTACTGGTGTATAATAGTAAACTCTGGGATTTAAAATCATATAAACAGATCAGCTGCTACTTGTGTTTCAAATGAAGCCACTGTCCCAGCTCAGAGACATGCACTATTGCAAGACTGGGACAAGGAAAAGAGCCAAGCCCTTTAACCCAGATCACAGCGGCTGGACAGGACCTACTTGGCGTGTTCCATGTGGACCTTTATGTGTATAAAGAAAAGCTTTTTATCCTTGGGGTGGCCAATCTGAGGCCAAGTATATAATACTTACATCCAGCCCAAAAGCCCAAAATCTATTCTTCAGCTTTTAAAAATGCACACTTCATCTGAAGTGATTTTCATTCAAAACTAAAATGTCTTTTCTATTTTGAAAATAAAAACTCTGTGTTAATTACACTGCTAAAAACGTCTCTCGTTGTGAGACAGTTTGAGCCTTGGGGTACCAAGGGCATTCTCATTCCAAAGGTGGTTTCCTGTTCCCTAAAGATTCCAGAAGGACATTTCCATAGCTCACTCCCCTCCTCCCACAGGATGTTCTGCTGAGCTCAGCCCCTTGAACATTCTAGGGTGGGATCAAGAGTCTCCCACAAATTCAAGTGACCCAGTCACATGAGTAGAGATGGTGAGAAGTGTGAGCTGGAGTTGGGGTGGTGCAGGGGCTGTCAACGAGAGATTGCAGGACGAAAGACTCCTGTCCCTGCTCCTCAAGCCCCTGTCCCTTCTCAACCACCCCTCTGCCCTAGCCAAGCAGACCTACATTTGGTGAAATCGGGGACCTCACCCAGGACTTCAGGAGACTCCCAGGCCCAGGACTGCTGGCCATGGGTTTGCACAGTCTCTTTGCAGAGTAACAAAATCCAGGATGTTTTCCATTCAGACAAACTGACACCTGCCTCTCGGTTCAATTTAGTCACCCACTCAGCATCAGGGTGTGTTCAGCTTCTAGGCAGGCAGAGCAAGGTTCCATTCACTCTGAGAAGCCCCTCAACACGAAGTTCAGGAGCCATGCTGAGGCATCAGACAGCCCACGCTCACACCAGCTCTGGGTTCTGCTTCTACACGGAAGTTTCTATAAATTCATCTATTTCGTCAAACGCATTGAGAGTGGTTTTGCTGTTGCTCCTGGACAAATTTTGGATTTTGGTGAAATCTGCTTAAAAAAAGAAAAAAACTCTGTAAATACAGCACTCAATACTGGGTGCTTCCTTAACGTAGGTGCACCACCTGATTTTTAGAAGCTATCCCAACTGGGGTTATAAAATGTTAGAGCTGCAAGGGACCTAAGAACCAATTTAACTCAACTCTCCCATTTTACAGATGAAGAAATCAGGGCCCTTGGGGGTGATTTGCCCAAGGTCACTCAGTCAGACAGGTGTGGTCACCACACTGCCTCTCCGCACCAGTACCTGTCCGTTTCACGGGTCCCGGGTCCTCATTAAGGAAGGAGACGTGCGTTTTCCATTCCGTCCACTTCACCTCATTGATCCTGTGAGTGTGAGAATCAGTCTCATTACTTCACAAGTGCACCTCGTTAAATGCAAACAAATAGCACCGTGTTGGGGATGTCCTATTTCCAGACAGGTTACCCAGCTCCCTTCTGCCCGACCCAGCGATCCAAGCACTCCTGCCCCACACGGTCAAGTCAGTATGGTTAGGGTTTGAAACCTGTCCAAGTCCTCATTTTCCCAGGTCTCAAGGGATCAATTTTCCATCCAGAGTATGGGGCTCAGAAAGGCTGTAAGTTGCTCAGAGAGGTGTAAAGGACACATTTTCAGACACCAGCAGCTGGGCCTGACTAGCTAGAGGGAGTGCCCAGGGAGGGAAGGAAGGGAGGGAGGGGAGGCAGAGAGTGAGAGAGGGAAAGAGGAAGGAAAGGAAGGAGGAGGGAGAGAGGCAGGGAAGGAGAAGGGAGGGAGGGAAGGAGGAAGAGAGGGAGAGAGGGATGGAGCGAGGCAGGCAGGCCCAGCTGAGGAGATGTGAGCTAAACTACAGAAGTTTAGGTAAAGTAAGGTTACACTGAAAGAAGGTTAGGGTTCAAACCAGAAGCCTGGATGGTGCAAGCAGTTTTCGACTGGCTGCTAACCTAAAGGTTGGTGGTTTGAACCCACCCAGCAGTGCTGCTAAAGAAAGGCCTGGTGACTGCTTCCATAAAGATTAACAAAAACAAACCTGTTGCCATAGAGTCGATTCCTACTTATAGTGACCCTATAGATTACAGCCAAGGAAAGCCTTTGGAGCACTTCTACTCTGTAACACATGGGGTCGCCATGAGTCAGAATGAACTCAGTGGCAGCTAACAACAACAGGGTTCAAACTACAATAAGAATGAGCAGTATCCAGGGTGTGGGATTACGACTGGAGACCTTGGTTTGCCTTAAATTCACATTCAGAGTGAGGCTGTCAAAATCAGACACATTTGTTAGGGTAACAATTACAGTTATCACTGGGATAAGATCAAAACAGAGGCATCTGACTTATTTGTAAAATGATTGTGCTAACTCTAAGAGCTCAAGGTAACCTTTCCCCCAGACTCTACCTTTGTTGACTAGGAAACAACCCCTATTACTGTTAAGGAAATCAGTTTCTTTGCTGTCAGGCTAAAGAATGTGGATACTTCTTTGGAAACTCATTTGTTCCCTGATAGAAACTCTTTGTTCCTGATCTCCTCCTGAGATTGATGCTCTGAGCAAGGTAACTTTTTTTTTTTTTTTTACTAGGGTGGTGGGGGAAGTTTCTGCCCAGGATTTTTTTTTTTTTTTTTTTTGTCTTTTTTTTAAATTGTACTTTAGATGAAGATTTACAGAACAAATAGTTTCTCATTAAACAGTTAGTACACATATTGTTTTATGACATTGGTTAACAACCCCACCACATGTCAACACTGTCCCTTGTCAACCTTGGGTTCCCTATTACCAGCTTTCCTGTCCTCTCCTGCCTTCTAGTCCTTGTCCCTGGACTGCTGTGCCCCATTAGTCTCGTTTTGTTTTATGGGGCTGTCTAACCTTTGGCTGAACGGCGAACCTCGGGAGTGATTTCATTACTGAGCTAAAAAGGTGTCCGGGGGCCATATTCTCGGGGTTTCTCCAGTCTCTGTCAGGCCAGTAAGTCTGGTCTTTTTTTGTGAGTTCGAATTTTGTTCTACATTTTTCTCCAGCTCTGTCCAAGACCCTCTGTTGTGATCCTTGTCAGAGCAGTCAGTGGTGGTAGCCCGGCACCATCTAGTTGTACTGGACTCGGTCTGTGGAGGCCGTGGTAGCTGTGGTCCATTAGTCCTTTGGACTAATCTTTTCCTTGTATCTTGTTTTCTTTATTCTCCCTTGCTCCCAAAGGGGTGAGACCAGTAGAGTATCTTAGATGGCTTGAGCAAGGTAACTTTTAACAGACTACTCTTGAAAATTTCCGCCATGTCACTGCTTTGCAACCAACATGCAGGCTCCCCCCAACCCCATGTCTTTCAATTACATCTTTTAGCCAATCAGTATATTCATGCAGCCAATAATGTCAAAGATCACGCTTTACTTTGTCTCACCGTTGACTGACCTCAGTCGCTGTAAACCAATCAGAATACTGTGTTTTGTACTTCCTCCTCCAGCCCTATAACCGTGTGCCCTCAGTTGCTCTCCCTTGGATTCGCGGGTTCCATTTGCTGGGACTCCACGTTTCCCCATTGCAATCTTCTTTTGTGCTGCAGCTGTCTCACTTCCCGCAATAAAACTCTTTACTTTCAGTTTGAACCAGGCGTTATGATTTTGCTCAACCACAACAGTGAGAAATGGTGGCTTCCGGAGGGTAGGGCTTGCAGTAAGAGAAATAGTTTGCGATAAGGTTACCCTCAAAGAAGGTGATCTATAGGGTCAGGCATTTCAGTAGGGGGTAGGAAGTGGTGGACTTGATCAGAAAAGGTGGTCATGGGCTGCAGGAGGACTTTTTTAAAAAGCTTGAGATCTATCAAAAGACGTTAGCTCACTTTCAGTTTTGCCAGTGACAAAATGTGCCACCAGTCCCTGATGTTGCAAGAACCCACAGAGGGTAGGCAGAAGGACAAAGAGTGCCAGGTAGCAAATCTTTTCTAAATCAAGAGGGCAGAGAGGGAAACTGCTGATTGCAGAGTCTCCTTCCCTCCCACTAATGAAGCTAGGGAACCCACAAAAGCAAACTCCGGCTTCTGAAGAGGCCAAGACAGACAGTGGCTGTGGTTATGGCAACCTCTTCTCTCTTTACCCACCCCAAAGACTACTCTCAAAGGGCCCTTCTCCCTGTTACCGCAAGCACAGTCGGAAATCTTCCTCTGCTACTTTACACAGTTCTCCCATCCGGAATCTGCTTCTCAGCCACTCTGGTAACATCTTCTCAAACTCCAAGATCGTTCTGGCTCTCTGGGGAAATAAACAAGCCTAAGCATATTGCCGAGGAACCGTGACTCAGCGCCAGCCCAGGGAGCACAGATCCGTATGAGTGCATGCACACACGTGCATACACACACACACACAGCCAAACAGCCTACTCCACCCCCACTGAATACTTAATGCATAGATCCTGAGGGTTCAGCTAATCTACAGAATTCAAAAGTAAAAAAGCAGCAAGTTTGAAAAAGACATTCAAATCATTTTAAATAAGACATAAATTTAAAAAAAAAAAAAGACATAAATAATGTTCCTGGAAGTCCAGTCAGTACTAACTGAAAATTTTAGGGTTCTAGAATCCCACAGTGGAGGGAGGTTCATGTAGTCCTACCCTGTCTTAGGCTTGGAATCCCCTAAGCAGTTTCCCTGGCAATAATTTGTCTTAATGTCTCATGAACATCACCAACAATATCCAATTAAGAAGACCCTAATCATTAGAAATTTCTTGTGTCAAACAAAATATTTCTTCCAGTGGTTCTCCCATCACATGGGGCCTCAGAAGGGGGCTGTTCCATCTTTCACAGGTAGCACTCCAGATGACTGAAGGAGTTCTCACCTACTTCAACCCTGGTTCCAACAACCATTCCTCATGAGACATGGTTTCCAGTTCTTTCCTAAACCTGGTCACTACCACTGGACCTATCCTGTGGGTTGGTATCCTTCAGTATATGAGGCCCACAGCATGTGAGGAGTGTTGAGGTCAGGATGGAGTGGAGCAGGATGTCACCTCCTTTGTCTTAGACCCTATACTCCTCTTAATGCAGCCTAAGGTCATACTTCAACATCCACATATCACACCACTGATTCTAACCCAAGTACTCCCATAAGCCTGAGTTTTTCTCACCTATGCTGTTGTGTGGAACCTAGACCCTATACTCAAGGAAGCTAGATTAAGGCTTCCTCAAACCTGGTCAATCACCAGGGGATCTTATGTAATTCTCAGACCCCAACCCAGACCCACTGGTGCTGATGGTTTCAATGACTATGTACTCAACTGAGTCCTCATCAGCTCCTCATGGAGGCCCCGACCCACCTGTAGGCGCCAGATGCGCTCACTCTCCTTGGAGACATTCTCCACGGTCTCTCCCATCAGGGCGATGAGCATGTTGAGGAGGAGGACAAAGGTGAGGATAACGTAGGTGATGAGCAGGAACAGAAAGAGGATGGGGTACTTGGAGTTCTGCTGGATGTTCAGGTCGCCCAGGCCTATGGTGAGCTTGAAGAGTTCTAGCACTGCGTCACTGAAGCTGCTGTAGGAGCTGCTGCAGCTATTGTCCTTGGGACGCTTCTCCATCAGCGAGGCCAGGGCTGGGAGGACATAACAGGGTGTTACCTCCAGCCTCTCTGCCTAGTTAATTACCCAACAAGCTCGTGCTTACTTACACGCGCACACGACTGGACACACACACACACACACACACACACACTATACACACACACATGCTGAATACCTGCTGCTTCCTTCTCTCTGGCCACTTAAATTCCATCTCAAGCCTTAGTGCCTACAGAAGCCACATCTGGTTGGTTTTTCTACTCTGACTTCCTGCAGAAAGGTCTTCTGCCTGACAAAGTCCATACTCCTCTCTCCCTCTTCTATCCCACAGTACAGCCCATGATTATCCATTGCTAATTATAATCTGTGTGTGTGTCCTTGGTTCCCTGACAAAGCTTTGAGCTCTTGAATTCCTATAGACTGGGTCTTCTCCTCCTCATTCTCCCTGAATTCCTGGAGCCTAGGTCTCCTCCTCCTCATTCCCCCAAGCCTGTGAGATCCTGAGTCTCTTTGTAATGTTCTGTAGTACGTTCCTTATGGGCAAGGCCCAGGGCTCCCTCTTTTCTTCTTTCCAATACACCACAGAAGTTGCTCATTGCTGACTGAATGGATGGATGAATGAATGAATGGGCCAATTAATGAACAGACGAAGAAAAGTGCAGCTGAAGAAGCAAATAAATAAGCAAATTTTGACCCAGAAAAGCTAGACAAATGGGAACAGCTGTCTAATTAGAAATGCCAATGTTCATTTAAACAAAAAAGCTGGCATGGGAAAATGAAACCGTATTTCTCTATGCAGAGGTTAGAAATGAACACAGCTTGTGCGGTTTCCTCTGTTGTAAATGGAGAGCTTTTAAGAGGGGGGGTCTTTATCCGGGCCTCCAGCAGACCAGAGGTTCTCACAGATATATCTGAAGCAAACTGCAAGAGTAACATGAAGTGGAGGACAGGACCAAAGGAAGTTATCCAAAGGCATTACTTTACTCCTATTTTTCAAAGACCATCAATCAAATTTCTGCGAGCTTCGGTTTCCCCATCTGTAAAATGGGGACAAAAAAACCTACAGCTGTGAAGGCGGTGGTGGGATGCATATCACACAGTAGATAAGAGCAACAGACCTGGTGTGAATCCTGGCTTCTCTGAGCCTCAGTTCCCTTATCTGTGCGTGGGGATGATAATTCCTGCTTGATCAAGTTGTTGAGAAAAGTAAATGAGACAATGCTTGTAAAATGCTACCTGGCACTCAGCAAGGTATAATTGCTGCTGAAGCTTCTATGTCCTTTGTCATTGTGACATCTGCATAAAGTGCTCGACAAATGTGGGAGTTACTATTATTTATAAATCAATTACCTACTCCAAATCCAAGTAGAAACACAATATATACAAACAAGAACTTCAGAACATCATGCAAAATGACCTACGAGAAAACAAATGATTCAAGTGTAAGTTTGAACACATATTCACTCCACGCTGAACTCCTTTTCCTCCTAGGTTCTCCCAGTCCCCACGCTATCCATGCCTTCACTCAGCCCATGCTCCCTTCTCTCCAGCTAAGTCCTCCTGGCTCTCCAAACCTCAGCTCTGGGCTCCACCAAACCCCCCTGAAACCCCCTAAAGAGGTCGGTGGCCCCAGTGGCTGATGCTGAAGAGACAGACAAGGCTGCCTCAGGGATCCACTCAACTGTGATTAAAATCCAAAGAAGCCTTCTTTGCCTTGCCTGCTCTAGTCCCATGTTCTCTCTATCTCCATCCTCTTAGGTCACTGTCTGTCTCTGCCCCTGCTGATTCACCCTGTACATGGGTGCCTTTCTTCAGAGGATCTCACATCTGGAATCCTCATGCTTCCTGGGAGCAGCAGTGTGCTGGAGCTGGCTCATACCAGCTCAAAAGAGCTGACTGTTAAGTTTTCATGAATGTAATAAGGTAGTTGTTAAATACAGCCATTATTAAAAATTAAATTATATAGTTACAATTAAAATGTTATATTAAAAATAAAGATAATAAGTATTCAAAACTCATCACTTTCTAGTTACTTTACTACATTTTACTATTATCTCTGCTCTTGAGGTTATTTATACATATTGTATGTGTAGTGGAAATACTACACAATGATGTGTTACTGCACATTTCTTCCCAACTACATGTTAACTTCATGTTGGTAGCTGGAAATTGGCCATGGAAGGAGTATTTACACCATGGAAACTGGCAAATGCTACAAATCGGAGTTTGACTCATTGTTTTGTTGGTTGTCTAGCTCTAGAATTAAGAAAGTGATGGAGGGAATCTTAACATAGATTTAACTTAAAAGTGTACCCTATGTGTATATTATATGTGAATAGCACAAAAATATTGATGAAATAGTCTTTTAGTATTTGACAACTATTGCTCACATCATTGACAAACAAATGATGTTTCAACACAAGTCTTCATTTGTGTCATCTTCATCTTACTCCTTGCAGTAAAATATATATATATATCAATCAACCAACATTCATGTCAGAACAATACTCTTTTGTCAGTTGGAACCCTAGGTTGGCAACAGGTACAAGAGTTCAGCAAAAAATTAATAAGCATTTTGTGAGATTCAGTTGGTTATGTGGAATTTACAACAGAATATTGTATATTTTATTATTTATAAATTGTGTGCTACACATCTTTTATATAGTAAAATTTATAACAAACGTGCTTGTGCATATACACATATTTAAAAATAAATAAACAGCTGTCACTGAGTTGACTTTGACTCATGGCAACTGCATGTGTGTCAGAGTAGAATTGTGCTCCATAAGGTTTTCAATGGCTGATTTTTCAGAAGTAGATCGCCAGGTCTTTCTTCCAAGGTGCCTCTGGGTGAACTCAAACTCCCAACCTTCCAGTTGGCAGTGGAGCACGTTAAATGTTTATACCACTGATGGACTCCATACACACATATACGCCTATATATTTTCCAGAGAGCCAGTTCTTAAATATTTACCAGCATACCACTGCCTGAGAGTAATAACATTCCTTCAGAAAGTGTTATCCCTTCCCTATGCCCAAAGAGAGACCGTGGCATTAGGGAGACAGAGCAGTGGCCTTCCCATTGGGCAAGTCCTTTTTCCTCTCCAGTCCTCAGTTTCCCCATCTGACATTCCCTGATGGCCCTCCCCCCTGCACATCTCTGACCCTTGGCCACTCCCAACGCACCTTCTGGATCATGACACTGTACATGCCCATGGACTGGAATCCCCGAGTGTAGTAGAGCATGTTCGCCCAGCCCAGGGCCATGGCCAGCACGAGGAAGGCAAGGTACTCTTTGTAGGCAAACAAGTACAAGAAGACAGACAGTATCACAAGCACAGCTTGGATAAAACTGTTCAGGAAACACAGGAGACAAGGGCCTTACTTACTTCTCCTCAGCATCAGGGCAGAGACAGTCAAATCCCCAAACCTCCCTCAAACCCCCTGAATGGGTCCCTAGTCCCCGTGGCTGATGCTGTAGAGACAGACAAGGCTGCCTCAGATCCACTTAACTGTGACTAAAATCCAGCCTTGTAGCCATGTCACCAAAGGCAAGTCGGAGGTCAGTCATGGGCTGGCTGCAGCTGATGGGGACTTGTGAAAAATACAGACCCCTGGGCCGCAGAAGATTCTGATCCTGAAGGTCTGGGGTTCAGCTCAGAATGCTATATGTATTTTTAAGCGACCCGTATGATTTCTGATATGGGAACCACTGGGGTAGACTGAGCATGTGAATGATTACATTTTTTAACTGAAAATGGCAAAGCTGTCAACATCTCTACTAACATGCCAACCATAACAAAACTCCCCCAAAATCTACCGCATTTTTATCTTTAAAAAAAAGGGGGGCACACTATATATAAACATAAAAGAGCAAAGTATGTACACCATGAGTTATTCAGACATCTGGATTAAAAAAAAAAAAAAACAACCTCTTGCTTATAACACCAGGCAGTCTCCATGATAATGGACTTATATATGACTTAAACTTAGAACACAGACAAGCTTGTTTTTCAGGTGCAGTGAAGAACAAATATCTGGATGATCAACTTCGTTTGGGACTGAGGGGAGGAAAGGCTTCTACACTAACAAAACAAGAAGCAGAAGAGCAGGACAATGCATTGGTGCTTTTTGCCTACACTAAAACCAGTGGCTATATAAATGCGTTTTTCTTTGGCATCATCATACTTTCTCAAAGGCGACAGATTCACATGTGGTTTGCATCATGGCCCATCCATTTACTGCAGTATCTACACCTGACCTACCATTTACTGCAGTACCTGGGTGACTCACAAGCCCACAGGGATGGAGAACTTGGCTCATGGCTCTAGAAAGCAGGTACATACTTAATACAACACCTAGGTATTTGGAAACATCAAGCCAAGATTCAAGGTTCTATAGACCCAGCCTTGCAGATGCTCAGATGAGACTCTTCGGTGGGGTCTACAGAGCTACCGAGTCCAGGATTCTTCATCCTAAATGGCAGCTTCTGTTCCATTCACATGGCAACAATGCTGAATCAGCCTTTGTTCTTTTAGAGACGGGAGTCACATAGCCTTTGATGTATGCTGCCCATGACCTCATTCAGACAAGCTGCTGGGCTGGGCTTTTTGGCTCGTGTCCTAGGATAGCCAGCCTGATACAAGCCTGGGGTGAAGATGACTAGGAGGCTGGTGATTGGGTTCAACACCACTAAAGCTCCACATGACTGCGTGTGACTCACTTCCCTGCTCTGGGCCTTGGATGTCATGCCTAAGGCTGAAATTCAACAATTTCTTAGGTACTTTCCAGTTCTGACCTGCCGGGGTCCAAGATGGCAACTTCTGGACGCCATAAGTCTAACAGGGGCTGCCCTGGAACATCCTTTTGTAACAAAGTAAACAAGACCACTAAGTCTCTTTGAGCCTTCTCTATGCTGCCTGACACCTGGGGCTCTGTAACAGGGTGGAGTCAGTCACCACCTGCAGCCAGATGGTGGACATTGTTCTATGGCTTCCTCTGGTCCTCTCCATGGGCATCCACGTTCCTCTCTTACTAGAAGGGAGAAAAGAGGTCCCTGGCCTTGTGACTATGGCAGAATGAATGGGACGTGGTGACATGGCAGGAGGACACAGGGGCACAGCAGCCACAATACAAGACTTTAGCCTTGCCTGTGAGCTGGTGGCCAAGGGGACAGATTTACTTACAAGACAAAGTGAAACCAGGCATCTGAGAGAATGGACTGCAGATCCGAGGGCCTCAGCAGGAAGATGGCAATGCCCTAAAGCCAGAGAAAGAGGAAAAGCTGTGCCCTCTGTGTGTGGCCCTTCGTGTCCCTCACAAGGGGATCAGAGGAGGGGATGTTACCCAAGGACTGGGGCCTTCAAGCCTTCCCTCATTCCCCCTTTCCCCAGATAAATGTCATCTCTCTTCCTGCAAGCACTGGTTTGAACCCAGCTTAGGGCCCTTTTCACAGTCTACCTTAAAGTCTAGATGTCTGTGTCCATGTCTTAAATCCCCTACCAGACTGTCAGCTCAATGAGGGCAAACTGCCTCCATCATACACATATAGATATACATGCCCCATATTTAGAAGGTGTTCAGAATATACTTGTTAATTGGTTGAACAGATGGATGGATGGATGGATAAACAGATGGAACATGGTTGGATGAAGAATGGAAGGATGGGTGGATAAGTATGAGTGGGTATTTGAATGGATGAATAGTGTATGGATAGGTGGGTGGAAGTTTGGGTGCAAATGGGTAGGTAGGTGGGTGGGTGGAAGAGAGAGGGTAGGTGATTGGATGAGTGGATGGCAGTGGGGAAGAGGAGAATGGGTCACTGAGTGGCTGAGGAGATAAATGATAGATGGTCAGAAGAATAGATGGAGTAGATACAATGGGTCTGCCTTATTTATTTATTCCCACTTGTATCTTAGAAATCTAAGGCTTAGAAAGGAAGTGCCACTCCAAAGCCCCCCAGCAGCCCAGCAGTAATGGCAGAGCAGGAGGGGTCCAAAGCCAAGGCTGCTCTCACCCTGTCTGCCTTCCTGCCGAGCAGTCCAAAAGGGCTCGGTGGCCCACTCACCTCTTTCACAGAGATGCACATGGCCCAAATGAGCACGAACATCCTTCCTAAGAGCTGCAGCCACCCCATCTTGTGTGTCAGAGACAAGGGGTGTGGAAGGGCCTGGGGGGAAGGGAGAGGGATGGTCAAGATGGGGCGTGATGGGGGCAAGGGTAGCACCAGCTCTGGAGGGACCATGCATATATGCATGTGAACCACTGAGCTGGACCAGAGCCCAGTATGAAGCCGGGTCTCTGCACAGAGCAAGAGAAAGAATGGCGGCCCCTTGCCCTTGCCTCCCCCTTCCTTGGTGGAAACCCAGAATTTTACATCAAGGAGTATGGTCCGATCGTCGTAACAACCGCTCACACCTCACAGCATGTGTTCTTCCCAGCCCATCCATATCCAGACACTCACAGGGCCTCAGACCACAGTAAAACAAAGCAGAGATTCTGCCCGTGTGATGGATGGGAAAAAAAAAGTCCAAAGTGGTTTGGGGAAAACTTATCCAAATGACAGAGCCGGAGCCAGGGACCTCCCCATTTCCCCATTTCCTGTGGCCCTCACAGCAAAAATACCCATTCAGTTCTAGATTTAGACAGTGAGCCCAGGCAGGGTCTGGGTCTCCTAATATTCCAGCTCTTCCCCCAGCAGGGGTCAGCCGGGGCTGGGTGCCCGGGGCTTCGTCCAACCAAGCACTAGGAACATATTCCATTTCCCTAGATACTGTGAAGGACAGCATTTGGGGACCCCATGCAAGTCTTTTGGCCCCTCTGGGCCTCAGTTTCCCCATCTGCACATGGATTGGCTCCAGATCCCTCCAGCTCTGACCACCCCAACCACACCTCCTTCCCCACTCCCCACAAAGGAGCACACGCACCTCCTCCCGCGGGTGGTAGTATGAGACAAGCGTTAGGGTGATGTTGTAGATGAAATAAAAGCAGAACGACAGGAAGAACATGTACTTGGCAAATTTCTTCCACTTCATATGCAACAGCGTGTGCAGGGGCTCCACAGTCAGCATCTCGTGCCGGTTCTGGGGGTGAAACAACACCAGTCACCTTGGGGAAGAGGGAGGGATCACTTCCAAAGGGCCCATGAGCAGCTCTGAGTCAGGGCCACCCCTGGCAGAAGGGGCCAGTGGTGATGTCCCACGGACTGGTTTGGCTGGAAATGTTGGGAGGATAACTTCCTGCTTCTGAGACTGCTGCCCCAGTGCGCTCAGGCTCAGCCAAACACCAGGGGAGCCAGGGACCTCCCCATTTCCCTGATTCACAGGGGGGAGAGAGAGCTAGAAGTGTAGGGTGACCAGGTCTGGCCCCAAATTGGTCCCCACCTGGCTGTGTAACCTTAGGACAGCCCCTGGCCCTCTCTGGCCTCAAGCTCCTTGTCTATAAAACTGATAACAAACACCCGCTGCCCTACGAACCTCACAGGCTACTGTGAGGGTCTAGAGAGATCAGGACAGGGCAGGCTCTGGGAAGCTTAACTCGTGGTAAACTCAAATGATGAAGACCCAGTCTGCTGCTTCGCTTCTCCCAAAAGCTAAAACCAGCTCATTACTAAGCCTCTCTCTTCCTCTCCAGTTTCACTGAACTCCCCCCTCTCACCTCCTCCAGGGAGGCTCCCCTGATTGCTCCAGCTATGCACTCCCTAAAACTCACTTGGGTCCAGGTGTCGGAGAAGAGGGGATTCTAAGCCTTACCATATAGAACCAGCAGGGGAATAGGGGAGAAACAAGATTGAGAAGATCAGTACCAACCATCCCCACACCCAAATGGCCCAGGAGACCTCCCCATCACTAAGGTCTACAATTCAAGGTTAACCGGGAACAGTCAAGCCCAGCACCTGTTCTACGCCCTGGCCTTTTTGTACCAGACTCTGCCCAGTGAGATAAAGGAATGGGGGACTCAGTGGGGGACTCCAGACACAGTCAATCTAGAGGCACGGGGTCTTCCCAGTGCCCTTTGGCTCCCTGGTCTGAGGCCCAGCCGTCCGCTCCCTGCCCTTTCCCCAGCCTGCCCAGGAGACCCACATCGATATTGGTGTTGTAGACAATGATCTCCAGCACCGAGCTCTCTGTCGTGGTATCCACATTGGTGAGGTCATAGAGCGAGGATGACACGGGTCCATACGCCCAGTCAGTGAACTTCCTCGACAGGCTCCGGAGTGGCTTCTCCTTGATCTCACGACTGAGGATGTACTTCAGGATCTGGGGCAGGAAGAGAAACAACTGTCAGCCACAGAACCGGGCTTAGGGTCAACAGGGCAGGGCCTGCCCTACCCACCCAGTCTGGGAAGATGGGAAGATCTTCACCTGACACCATGAACCTGGGCCCCAGCTTTGTCTGTGGAATGGGTGTGAAGCTGGCTCTTCTGCCCATCCCCTACGGGACCGTGAACCCAGAGACAAAAGGCATGAAAGCCCTTTGCACACTGGGAAAGCTGCACCCCAGCTCGGTATCACTGCGCCACCAGTCAGTGAAGAATCCAGGAACTGACAATTTTGATAAATGATGTGATGTCCATTTGGCTGGACTTGCGAAGAAGCTAGAAAAGCTTCCCCAACCCATCCTCAATCAAGACCTCTCCTTTTGAGGCTGGCTGCTCTGGCAGACGGACGATGATGTGAGACCCCAGCCTTACACGACGCTCTACTGGGCCCACTCTCTACATTAGTGATCCTCAAAGCTTGCTGCATATTAGAGTCACTGAGGAACTTTAGAAATCCCACACATATCTCTGGGGAGGACCCAAAAAACCAAACTAGTTGCTGTCGAATCAATTCCAACTCATGGCGACCCCATGTGTGTCAGAGTAGAACTGTGCTCCCCAGGGTTTTCTATGGCTGATTTTTTGGAAGTAGATCGCCACACCTTTCTTCCGAGGCATCTGTGTGTGCACTTGAACCTCCAACTTTTTGGATAGCAGCAAAGCACGTTAACTCTTTGCACCACCCAGGGACTCCCATCCAGGCAGCTGTATTTTGTAAAGCTTCCCGAGTGATTCCAAAGTGCAAGCAAGATTGAAAGCTACTGCCCTCCAGCTCACTACTTCCCAAAAGCTAAGCCTTGGGTTACCCTAGGATGGGGCCAGGGCTTCCTGGGACACCAACCCAGGACCCAAGAGGAGCATCCTGTTGGGGAGGGCAGTGTCAGCTACTGGGGTTCCCATCTCATCTCACAGGACAGCCTCTCTCCACTGCCCAGGTGGAGAGATTCTAGGGGTAGGGCTGGGTCTCCCCATCCTGTGCCCCAGCCTTGAAGGGTCCCATGTGCAGGGTCTGTGTCTCTTAAATGTCACTGTACCCCATTCTCAGCATAGTGGCCAGCTTGGGGCAGCATCCAGAAATGTTTTTCAAGTGACATGGAATGAAGGAGAGAAGAAGCCAGGGGAAGGGCTGGGTGCCTCTCCTGGACTGGCCACAAGAGCATGTTGTCCTCTGGCAAGCAAGGGGATCCTGGCGCCATGCTCCCTGCAGGAGCTCTGTCCCTGGGCCGGGGTGGCAGGGAGAACATGTGCCACAATGGCGTGCAGGGCAGAGGCCCTCGGAGGAAGCTCAGCCTGCAACCACAATCTGACTCTCCTAAAGAGTGTGTCCCTGGGGTGGGCAGAGATGTGGCTGCGGGCACAAAATGCCTCCTCTGTTGAAACCATTCCCTGTTCCCTCCTCCTCCCACAAGAGAATAAAAAGGCCCCCTGTGGGCCCCAGCTCTGATCACTGGGA